TCCTTACACACACGCATGGCACCCAAGCTGGGCAGTCACTGTGCCAGGCAGGAGAGGAAAGGACGTTGGTCTGAGTTATCAAGCCTCTCTGGGCCTCAGTGTCCCTACCTGGAAACTGCAAAGGGGGCTATCTGCCATCCAGCAATAGCATTCTTGAACCCAGGGTTGTGCAAAGTAAATGGGGGTAGGGCAAGCTGTGGGGTTCAGAAATAAGGCACTCTTGTCACAGCCCCCTTTCCTCCCCTGCCTGCCTGGGAAAAAGTGCTGAAAAGAGTCTTTGCGAAGGGCAGAGGCTGGACAGAGATGGACTGGTGCGTCCTAGGCTGAAGTCCCTGGGGAGGAAAAGCGCAGGAAGCCAGAGAGTCTGGCTCTGACTGAGCTTTGGCTATGTCTGATCTGACAGGGGGCCAGGGCTACAGAGCTGGACACTCCAGACACCTGCTCCGGGGAGGCCTGGCACCTCTTTGAACAGGCCACTAGGCATGCTTAGTCATCCCGAGGGCCTGGTAGTACCCTTGGAGCAGGTGGGCTTTGGAAGATGCCCTAGGCCCACCTCTTCCCTCTGTACAGATGGGGAAGCTGAGCCCCAGGGAGGGCAGGTCTTGCCCACTCCTACAGTCAGGCTCCAAGCCTACAGCTTGACTCTCTATGAACCCCCATGGATCTAAGGCAGAGGCAATAGTGAGGTGGGCCCTGAGCCCCAAGCTGGTGTTCAAGTCCTGGGGGAGGGCTGGAGGTAGCCCCAGGGTGGGACAGGGCTGACAGTCAGGACCTGCCTTGGGCCTAGGTGGGCCAATGTGATGGATCAGCAAAAGCAAGCCTGGGAAGAGGACCCCCAGACCCTGTCCTAGGCTTGAAGGAGGCTAGGATCTTCGAACCCTTCTGTTGAGCAGCTTTAACCTTGGGCCCCAGTGAGGGGGAAGAGGGTAAAGATGAGATCAGGATGAGAACTACCCTCCCAGCCAAGACTGATGGCAGGCACTGGCTTGGGTGGAGAGGCCCCTCCGCTGGCATCAGGACAGCCCACACAGGGCTAAGGAAGGAGAAAGCGGATGGCAGGGTGGCGGGGAGAGGCCTGCCGGCTTCAGAAGGACGAGTGCATCCCGGAGGATGCAGGGGCGCGGCCTCGCGGCAGACCCG